TAACACTGAAAATTAATATATCATATTGTGAGTCACACATAAAAAAATGGAAAACCTGGCTACATGGGCAAATTACCCCAGTTTAACAGAAGAATGCATCTTAAACCAGTGTAGTTAAACTGGCACAAACCCAAACTCTGATTTCAGTTGAAAAGTTGCTTTTTGTGGATTAAAAATAAGCTAAACAATTTAAACTAAACCGAGAGACCCTGAGTGACACATTTATACTGATATAATCCCTGGGGGAGACAATGCTATTTCAACAACCATTAATCCGCCTCCTCAAGAGGAGGTAGCTATGTCAGCAGGGGAAGCTCTCTCATCGATTTAGAGCAGCTGTATTAAAGCACTACAGTGAACTGATGCAGCCGTAAGTGTAGATTTGCCCTTAGTCCCGTTTATGTCCCTTGTCTCCGAAGTGTTCTCTAAGCTGCTGCGGTTTTTGTGGTAATTTGCCAGGAATCAACCAGTCAATAGGGCTGAAAGTTTGTCACAATGACTGTTTCCCACTGGCATAGAACAGTCTAGGTCCGGGCCACAGCAGCCCTGGAGCAACCATAGGTACCACAAGGTCTGTGTTAGCAAGACAGTGGATGAAAAGTAGGCTGAGAGTCAAGGTAGAGGCATGAGGGAAGAGGAAGGACAGAAAGGTAATTAACAGTAATCCCGACACTGAAAAAGAAAGCTGGAATATTTTGAAGGAGAAAAAAGATGAATAAAGAAACAGCAAAGTCAAGGCAGAGGCATTAACGATAATGACAAATATCAGCCTTCAACTTCCTGAAGGGAGGTTCCAAAGTGGATGGAGAGAGGCTGTTCTCAGTAGTGACAGATGGCAGAACAAGGAGCAATGGTCTCAAGTTGCAGTGGGGAGGTCTAGGTTGGATATTAGGAAAAACGATTTCCCTAGGAGGGTGGTGAAGCACTGGAATGGGTTACCTAGGGAGGTAGTGGAATTTCCATCCCTAGAGGTGTTTAAGTCTCGGCTTGACAAAGCCCTGGCTGGGATGATTTAGTTGGGATTAGTTCTGCCTTGGGCAGGGGGTTGGACTTGATGACCTCATGAGCTCTCTTCTAGCCCTATGATTCTATGATAACAGCACATGGCAGCCTCCTAAACCTCCCTCCTGCTCCGAGGTACCAGACTTGCTGACTGCTTCTGGGGCACAGCACGATGCCAGGATAGGCGGAGAGACTACTGTAGCTTTGCTCTACTGCTGCCTGGGGTAAGCCTGTGCCTCAACCCCAAGCCGCTGCTCTAGCCCTGAGCTCTCCCAAGTCCCTCATCTCCAGACCCACCACAGAACATGCACCTCCAGTCAGAGCCCTCACCGCCTGCCCCAGCCCAGTGAAAATGAATGAGCTTCAGGAGAGCAAGTCACCAAGGGAGCAGAAATGTAATGTGCGGGGGCCATGTAGGGTTGCCAGGTGTCCGGTTTTGAACCGGACAGTCCAGTATTTGAGCTTTCTGTTCGGGAAACAAATTGAGAAAATATAAATGTCCGGTATTTTCTAAATAAAATGTAATATGGATTGTGATTTCATGTCAAGTGTATCTGGTATTTTTGTTGAAACCATCTGGCAACCCTAGGGACATGGCCTCAGGAAGAGGCAAGGTGAGGGTGCTTAATTCTGTGTTGTTAGAAAGTTAGCAACCCTAGACAGCTTCCTACAGCAATGCGGAGCTGGGCAGGTAGAGCCCTAGGAGTTTTAATAGCTTGGTCCTAAGTGCCAACCAGAATCACCAGAGTCCCTCTTCCACTGAGCATTCTGGTTGAAAACCAAACACTTGACATAGGGGGAAAACACAGCAGAGGCTGGAAAGGTTCAGAAAGCTATGTTCTAAAGTAGAAGACATTTGTTACAAAGATAGGGCCATGGTCTAGCTACAGAGAGCACTCAGCAAAACTAAATGAGATCTACGTAAAGACTCCACTGGGCTGCATGGCAGGCATATGGAAGATGCTGAGGGAGCTGCAGTGACAAATGTGTTTGGGATATTCCAAAGCTTTCCAATGGAACCCAAATAATGGTGTGCACAAAAGGGAGCAATTTCAAATGTGACTTGGGCTCTTAGGGTAAAAGTTGCAAAAGTGCCAAAGTTCTGGACA